ACGCCGTCTAGTGTCAGTCCCAGCAGTTGTAATATGTGCCGACAGCCCAGCTGGGCTTGCGATGCGGCAGCGCGGCAGCACGGGCTCGGGGTTTGTGTAGGGCAGGAGCCAGGCAGGAGCCAGGCAGGAGCGACGCCCTTGACAGGTTTCCCTTTGAGACCCTCCGGAGCCCCCTCAGGGGGCCTGGACCCGGGGCAAGGAGGAGTACCGGCAATACTCGATAGGGCCCACGCGTCCTGCGCGTCCTCTGGGCCGCTTGGAATCCGACCAGCGCAAGGGCCCGGCCGGTGGAAGGGGCCGGGCGGCTCCCTGCCGTTGGAAGACCTCCAACCAGCGACCAAAATAAACACTAACATTTTCGTGTTGTGCCTATAAATTTATTCTTCGCGATCGCCGCCGCCGTTTAATTTAGGCCGCGCCACCTTGTCCGGGACCACGGCGGAGCCTTCGGCGCTCTCGGCGCACCAGATTGAAGTTTAACGAAAGTAACCAATTGGGACTTGAGATTACCACCCGACCCGGGCAGCCCGGGCGTGGCGTCGATTAGGCGGATCTGGAGTGCAAGTTTTAGTTTGGTCGTGTCAACAGCCGAGGGCGCCAGGGGCCTCCAGCCGCCTACCCCAATTAGGGCTGGTCCACGATCACGATGCATACAGAGAGCGACGGAGAAAGGGGGAGGGGTGGCTATTCAGGCTGCAGGCCCTGCGGCGGATGAACATTCATTAATGTTTACGATGGCGGCTGTGTTGACACACTGCATGCGTGCGGTGGCGGTGCAGCAGGCCAGCCCCGCCGCGGGGCAGCTCGTGTGTTTTGGACGATCAAAGTTAGCAGCCGCGCACGCATCGATGGGTGCCGCTTGCCGCCGGCCCGGTCTGCCTGCGCACACAGTGTGCCTACAGGCCCCTCCGGCTCGGCCTCAACCCGCCCTGCTGTTGGCGCAGTCGCGACGGAAACCAACGCGTCGAAACGCTGCTAATCGTATCACCATGTTCTCTCCCTTTTCTTAACGAGATTATGAAACCGTCCTGGCGATGGATCTTGCCCCGGCCGAGTCGATTCGCTGTCGGTGCTTTCGCGCGGCTGACCGCCTCCGCAGCCCGCCTGTCGCCCCCGTCAGGCAGCCGCCCTTCATACAGTGTGATGCTGCAACGTTACACGTTAGGCCGGGTCGGCGCGCCTCGCGCCTGGCCGTGTCGCCCGTCACGCACCTTACTTCCCACCTAGTGGGTGGGGTTATTGAAGGCGGCAGACAGACGGTGCGGCTCGCATACAAAGCAGACGGCTTGCGGCTGTGTCTCGACGGCGTGGTCAATGGAACCCGCGGGATACAGGGAAATGTGGGTAGGGACTTGCAACACTTCCAACCTGCTGGGAAAGATTGTGACATTTTGTGTTGCTTCCCTGGCCGCAAAGTTTTAATAAAACTTCCTCTTCTACAGCATACCAAGCTTTGCCAATGCTGTACTTTTACAGTTGTTGACAAGCTCTCGCACGTCGCTTGGCAAAAAAAGCCAACAAGGAAAACCGCGCGAACACCCGCGTCGGGATGTGCTTCTTTTCTGTCCACTCTTTGAAACGAATCCACGGATGCGGTGGGGTCCCACTGGCGCTCGGCTGGCGTAGTCTGCCTCACGGGCGGCGAGCACGACGGGGTCTTGATGAGGCTGAGTGGCGCTGCGCTGCCGCCGATGCATTGTGGTAGTGGGCCCGGAGTGGGGCACTCGGATTGCACTGGGGCAGAAGATGCGGAACAACAGTCTTCAGCAGACGCACAAACAAAAAGGCCGGAACATGGAAACAAAGGGGTGGATTCTCATTTTAGACGAGTGCTTGGTTAGAACCAGGCCTCCTCTCGGGTTCTAACGCGTATGAAAGTGTGAAAGAATCTTCACATCGAATGGAAATTTAAATGAAGCAAGATGAATTGGCAAGAACGCACTCTTTATAAAAAAAACAGTGATGACTAAAATAAACAAAGGGCCTAGAACGAGGACGCTGTCACTATTAAGAGTTGATTTTGCTTGTGGCATCTTCTAAATTTAAATAAGGCACATTGCAAGCGGTATCCTTTTTCGTTCATTCCGTGGAGCGAATTGCATCCGCGTAACGATGCGCCTCTTAGGGCTGGCCCATGAATTTGCAGGGAGCGTTGTGCAGCAATGCCCTTGTTTGACAGGACCACTCGTGTGAATGCCGTAGCCTCCCTCATGAATATGCATGCTGCAAATGATGTCACGTGAATGTACACGCGGCTGCAGCGTACGCATGTGTGTGTGTTTATGTGCATTCAAATATACGTTTGATGTGCGTGCGGGCAAGGAGGGGAGGCTAACGAATGCCGACGAATGGGTTGACTTCTGGGCACGGAGCAGGAAACGCGCTTCAAGATGAAGGCACCGCGCAGCTAGGCCCCATTCACTCCATTACCAGCGATGGGCATGCAGTTAAGCAGCAGTCCTGGTGTTAAACGCGCTCGCGCTCGGTTGAGCCCCATCGCCGGGTGGCCAGTGGTGCACGGCATCGCGGGGTCCACTCGGCGGCAGTGCGGCGCGTGACTTCAAAGTGAGAGGGGAGGGGAGCCGAGGGGGGGGGCAGGCTGAAAGCGGCGAAAAGAGTCGGACCTAATTGTAGGGGCGGTGCGACATGAATTGGAGTAATGGCGAAGGGATGTCGGCGTCACGCTCCGGTAAAAATTGGACGGCCCTTGAATGGCGCCCCCTCCCCGCCCCCACTCCTCCCACTTTGCAATTTGGCCATTCTATGCGGGTCGCGACGCGCGGCCCCGTCCCAGGACTGCTGCCGGACCGCGCCACCGGCCTACCGCCGCACGGGGCCACCTAGAGAAGGGTGCCGGCCTCTGATTTGCGTCGGCAGGACCTGTTCTTGCATGAAAAAGGATTAATCAAGGGTGTCGCCGAATTCAAGAACAGTATTCAAACCTTGGTTGGTTAGAAGTCTACAGGAGATCACTTCTTGTCCTTGGCGCGTGGCAGTCCATAACGCTAACCGGCACGATGCCGCTGAACATTTAAAGGGAATATTCGTCGCGCTGCGCGAGGTCAAGGCGATGCCGTGGCAGTTCCAACGAGTCCCCAGCCGTCCTTTGAAAGGCAAAGATTTTCCGGCGCTGCCCGCTTGCGCGTTAGGGTCGGATCCGTTCATCCGATTTTTCATGGCCAGCCCCAAGACGTAAATATCCGGGCCGGCGGCGCCCCGCGGCGGCAAAACATGGAAATCAAATATAAAATGATATCGACGGGGGGGGGGCGAATGTCGCCGGCACCCTAATGCCCCCAGGGCGCTCCGTGACCCATATTTAATGATGCCCTGGCTCCCCGGACGACGGCGACGGCAATGAGGCCGTTTGCGGCGGGCCGCCGACGCTGAGTCAACCGGCGCCTTTCCTCCGTAACGTTCCCCTCGCTGGGGGGGCTACGCCCCCACCGCAGGCACTTACTTACGGTCCCTACCTCAAGGACCCCGCTGAGCCACCGCTATCGCCACTTCTGGAAAGAACCTGACATGTCCACGACCGTTCACGAACCCGCTGGCGTAAGATTTGATAGGCATGTGGTGACGAAAGTTCGTCACTTTACTAAAACTGTGGCCTCGGGGACATTTTGTGAACGGAAGCAGTGACGTTTCCCCTGAAACAAATAACGACCAGGAGAAGGTCGCCTGCTCGGTCTGGCCGCCGACCCAATCAGCGCCGCGCGGTCTACGGTAGGGGCACTGCGGTCGCGGGGGCTGGACCGAGCTGTCAGCAAGTGCGGATCTGGTCAAGCGGACAAAGTCACCCCACCCGCGACCGCCGCGCGCGCCTCATGGAAGTTTCAGCGTCTAAAGTGAAGCGTCGTGATTTATGAGGAGGAGGGTCTCCTCGGCAACGCCTTGGCAACGCCGATCACGTCCTCATTCACATGCCGTCGATGCGGCACCTCTCTCTCATTAGAGCAGAGACACATGTCTGGGCGAATATGATTAACGGCCGTTTGGCGCCCTCTAGCGCGGCCCTCTGGCGCGGCCCTCGGCCTGGAGAGGCGTTTGGCCCGGGCCGTGGCCTTCTTCCTGGGGGCTTTGAGGCTTTCCGTTTGGCCACGCCACACACCAACATTTTTCTTCGTCTGTGCTGCCACTGGATCCCCGACTGTCGTCTCTATATGACGGCAGCGCGAAAAAGCCTTTTGGACCTGTTTCTATTGGGCGGCGCTCCCTCACGCCCAGCCCCGCTCGGTTCTCTCAACTCAGCCGGCGAGCAGCGCCCCCTAATTAGAATGGGAACGGCTTCGCGTTTGGAAGCGGGATCTGCAAAGGTATAAAAATAATAATTGGTAATCCAGTTTATTGTAACAAGCGTGCGTGATTTTTTTTGTTCCACGTCAACGCTAGGTGGGGGATTTTTTGTTGGAAAAGTGGCGCCTCTGTGCTCTTCTTGGAGAAAGGGAAAAATATGTTACATTTTTTTTCAACCAATTTGGCATGATGCTGGAAATTGAAAAAATTCAACCACTCCAAAAAAAACTCTAACCAGCAGGAGGAAAAGCGGCAAACCGCGCCGCCAGAATAAAATTCGTTGAGCTGCTTTCTAGGTGGCGGACCGCGGGCCTTTGGGGCGCCTGGCGGGTCGTTGCGGGCTGACAGCTTGCAGCTATGTGTCATGAGCGTATAACTCCCGCCGCGCCACCCACATTGTGCTGCCGGGGGATTAGTTTTCTCCGTCTACGTGTGTGGCATGGCCAGGCGGCCTGGTGCGGCTCGGCCAAGGGCTCGGCCTGGCACGGCACGGCACGGCTTGGCGTCGCTTTCGCCAACAACGCGGGGCAGCTCGCCGAAGGGCAGAGGCGAGCCCCTATCCAGGAAGTTTTGTGCGGGAAACGGTCCGTGCTGTGCCTGCGATGACGAAGCGCGCGCCCCGGACCGATGTATCGGAGGAGGCGTCTCAACCCAGTGCTGCTTTTGTCAGCTACTAACCCATGGGTATCTTTGTTTGTTTGCAGATTTCCTTCGGAATATGACGTAGCGACGTGCTGCCCCCGACGTTGCAAATCGGTGAGTAAAAAATGGAGACATGACGGCAACTGTACAAAAAATTACTTCCGTTAGGTAGGCTGAGTCCCCGGCACTGTGCCTGCGGGCTCCCAGCCTACCAGGCGCTCCTGCTCACGGCCCAGCTGGCGGTTGGGCGGCAGTACACGAGCTACACGCGTGCCTTTTTTTCGGACCGATTTTATTCCGAATTGAATTGAGTTGAGCTCCGCGCGAGAGTTTGACAAGATTTCCTTTGACGACGCGGGCCGTGTCTTGCCGTGCCGCGCCGCCACCTGGGGCAATAACTCGCCTTGTTCTCGAAGCGGCGCAAAGAAAAAGGAGAAGGCGGCCGCAACAAGAGGCAAAACATATGTAAAGCAGGCGGGGCGGAGGCGCCGCGTCAGAGGCACAAATTGATACAAAGAAGGGAAGAAACACAACGAAGCGGCCTGGGTCGCGCGCCATTGGAGATCCTGGAACATACTCGTCTTCTCCACTAGGGGCCTCATCGCAAACGGTCAGAGTGATTTTTGGCTCGTTTTGGAGTGACTGGAAGCTTTCACTCCGGCGGCCCTTTGCGGGGATCTTGTCATTCGACAGGTTCGTGACACGGGGTTGGTAATGGTGGGAGCCCCTGATTCGTCATGCCGCCCCTACTCCACGTGGTTGGGCCGTTGATCTTAGGGTGCCGCCGCCAAGCCCTCCCAGTGTACGCATTGGGACCACTGTCATCCACACAGGCACACCTCCCCTCCTTCCTCCACCCTCGTCAACCCTACAACGCCACCGCGATGTCTCATCACCAGCAGTGTAATTTCATCCCTCGGTGAACCTCATTCCATCTTCATCAGAGTGCGGGGCCCGGCGTGGCGCGTAGCCACCCCCACCCTTTCCTCTTTTCCCACATTCACTCACACATGCACGCCATGCCGCGACACAGGTAGCTGTGGGCGCATACGTACTGGCCCAGCTGGACCGCACGAGGGACACTGTACACTGTTTGGGGTGCCAATGGAATGCTATGTTTTCCCCCGTTTTTTTTTATTTTTTTAATTTTGGTAGCAGCCAACGTTGACTTTTCCTCAATAATGAAATAGTATCGCCATGGCCGAAAAACAAGCAAAGCGATGAGGCCTCAAAAAAGCTTAACTGAATAGAATAGCTAACACAGTCTCTCGACCAAAATGATTGCGCTAATTTTAAATGTGGGGACGTACTTAGGGCAAGACAATACGGCGTGGAGTTTTCTCTCCAACTTTTTGCCATTATTTAGGGCACGCCCCGAACGCCTCTTGGCTGGACAAAAGTTGGGTTTTGAGAAACGTCACCCTCGTCTTTTTATTTTCTTTCCTAGCGCGCGCCCTGAATGCATTTGGCATTCTCACCTGCTTCTCGCTCCGACCTTGGCATAGCATTACCTTTTCCAGTCTCCAATAAACCACTGTGCCGGCGCCGCCACCGTCCGGGCTGGCTACGGTAGTGGGGCGAGGGGGCGGGCGGCGGGAAGGCCGGGAATGACACTGGCACAAACATTTTCGTTGTGAAATGTCGTTCATTTTCCTTGAATTCATGAGGTAACTGGACTAGCTCTTCTGTGCAGTTTTTGCAACCCTTTCATTTTTAAGAAAAGCAAGCAGTTGTGCTTCAGAAAAAAGATTAGCTCGCTCAGAAATATTTTTTCTGGCCAGAGCAGTCAGGAGGCCTGGCGGCGGGTAGGGCACGGTAGGGATGGCGACATCCAATCTATTATGCATGCTTTCTATCATCGCTCCACTCTGTCTTTCCCAAACGACCTCTTTCACGCGGCCGCGGAGGGACGCCGTAGAGAGGATCAGGGAGGAACGGAGTCGGCGCCGCAAGAAGATAGAGGAAGAGAGAAATCTACTCGCCTTTTCTATCAACATAATGAAAAAGTTGTCGGTGGCCAGCAGTCACAATACCTTTATTACCCGGCAAAGAGTGGGGCCTGTGGGGCCCCACTGCCGCGAGAGGGCGCCGCTGAGTGCGGCTCCGCGAGCTAATTTCGCTCACTCCCGCGCTGCGCATAACTTTGGCCAAGAGAAAAGAATCTGATAAAAGCAGTGGCGGTCACATGACACTTTGCGCTGCTGCCGGCACTTCCGGGACAGATGTTGGATCGCCTTAATTTGGAATTCCTGTGGGGCTGCGGCCGCGAAGCTGCTTGGGGTTACTTCCAGAAATGAACGAGTATCTAAGAAGAAGCGCATCACTCATTCTCACGACGGGAGCCCAGGGGAAAACTTCGTTGGGGAACGCCTCAGATGCGTAACACTTTTTAATTTTTAGCTGCTGATTTTTATGCTTGTAAACAGCTATTTTTTGCGTTGAGTTGATGCGCGTTTGAACTTAATCCAGAACGTCCGTACTCCGGCGTGCGGCCTTTCAGCAACTTGGCTGGCAGTGCTTTCAGCTTGATGATGGATTGCGGTGATTTGATGGAGATGAGGCAGGATGCTGCTCGACCAGCGCTGCGGTCCGATGGCCACACACGCGTGAGGGCTTAAGGCAGTCTGCGAGTTGAGGCCCAGCGGCGGCAACGGGATGGACTTGCCAGCCGTAACGCGTGCGCAACTGGAGCGTGACGATAAACACCGGTTGGTTTGAAATCTCTCCGGCAAAACCGTCACCTGATTATCGCATTTCATCGCCGTCGTCGGTAATGTTACACCTCGCCACGTGGAACCTTGCCGCGCGTTTGCCACGTGTCGTTGACGGTCCGGGCGGGACATCGCGCTGTGGAAGTGGACACCAACGGATTCTCGGGATCTTCTTGCACAGGACAAAGGCGACTCCAATTTTTCAGCATTACTTGCATTGCCGGGCTAGCGAATGGGTGCCCCTTAGAAACACGATTGACAGTACAAATTTATTGCAAAATACGTGGATTAATACAAACATCTTGCTAGAAAACCTTTAAAAAAACTGGGGGTAAAGAATAATGTTGCTTTGTCATGACAGTGTCGTTCGGTGAGCGACAAGATGAATGTTGCCACTCTCTCGAAAGACTCTCACAGACTCTTCTCTGCAGCGCCTAAAATGCTCATCGCCCCCTCTGACACGACATTATAAAGAGGCCTTTTGCCAGGTGGTCCAAAAACGCCAGCCCAATTTATTTATGCATCTGATGAATCACTGGGACGACGTCGGGACGGCCAACTTTGTAAGTTACGCCACATTTGACGTCCGAGATAAGTGCCTTCTCGTCTGCAGCGAATATATTTTTGTTTTTGAGGTTGGCGCTCCTTCCTTGCCCTGCCTCAACGTTTCGCGCCCAGCTCTGCTGGCAACACCGGCGCAACCTCTAACCTCTTGCCGCGGCCGATGCGCGGCATCGCTTTTCGATGTGCGGCTGCAGGAGCGTATGCTGCTTGCTGCTTGCCGTTTTGCAGCGGCGCTTTCGTGTGCTCACCTTCCCGCGCGGATAGGGAGGAGAGGGGAGCGTCACAATGCGAGGAAAACAAGGAGATAAATTTGCTGTCAACAGGGTGGCCCCCCTCGCCCGGTCGATGTCGTAGTTGCAGACCCGCGGGGCTGCATTTGGTCTGCTTGCCTACCCACAGAGAGCTCTTTTCGGCAGAAAACTGTGGATTCAAACGGTGCTTTAAAGTGCCCACCACAAACAAGAATATTTCAATGAAAAACCAAAACAGGTCGCGTTTTTGACGTGATGATGGGTTCCCACTCTGACGAGCATCAGGTAGGAGTGATGTCGGGGAGGGCGCTGCAAATGGACGAATTCTGCGGGGCCGAACGAGATCGTAAAATCCCCTGGCTGTGCCGCTGGCCGTGACCCACATTAAACCGAGCAGATTCCGAAACGGCGGCGTGGCGGTAGGACCTTCGACCCGCGGCGCAGCCCGGCGCAGCCTCCCCGCCACCGCTATCGTGTGTGGCCCGGTTTTAACGCGGCCCGCCGAGATAGGGCAAATGAGGTAGGGCGTGACGGGGCGTGAAGTTCGGACCGTAACTTCGTATCAGTTGTATCTGTTGGGGTTTGCTTCCCTCTGCGACTACTGCTGTGCTAAACTGAATTGGACACCATTTCGCGGTTTCTGGTGGTTAGTACCAAAGATTTTCTGCCCACGCAGCCTTCTGGGTAAGCTGGATGACCTTCCAAGGATTTATGCTCAAGAGCATTGGATATCGATAGGGAGACTTTGCCGAAGTGCATACCGGCCTTGCTTTTAAATGCTTTCACTTAGGACATACCCAGCGCTTTGGTTCAAACAACCAGCTTCTATTAAAGTGGCATAGCAACGAGATAGCTTCTCTTTAAATAGTTTCTCTTTAAATAGTGTGGCAATGTTGACTTGGCAATGTTTTGATCCAGGAGGCATCAGAAAATCGGAAACGGTGCTGGTGAACGGCAATTCCAGTTCATTTTTTTCGTAAATATTTTTATTTCTTTTTGTCCGTGGTGGGGGCTGGATCGTTCTCATCAATACCCACCCACATCAGATCCCCCACCCTCCTCCTTGCCAGGCTGAGCCCGGCCGCTTTCCTCGCCGCGAAATGAAATCCTTAATCTGGCTTTAGAGGGGGCCTGGGCTGCTTCTGTTGCACCCTCAAAAATCCATACAGAAATATTGTTCCTCCCAGTCCCTCTCCGTTCGCCCTGCTCAGCTTTAGCCAACAAGCTTTTCAAAACATGAATTAATTGGCCACGCATCCCTGTTTTCGTAGCACGGACGCACATCCAGAAGTGTTTTTAGCTGACCCCATCCTCACTCTAACGATTTTGGAAATGCAAGGTTAGTTTAGGTCACCAATTTCAAGTCAAGTAAATGATCAAAAAATTAATGATCAATCATAAGTTAAAAATTTCTTGCACTAACTGTGCGGAATTGACGCCACAGGAGCCACACGTCCTCTCGGCGCGGCACGGCCGAAGCAGGGGGTCCTCACTCGGAAGAGGGCAGCACGGCCGGAGCACGGCCGGAGCACGGCCGCACCTAATGGGCCATTTGGACCTCCATTCACCTGCCAAGCTCCGTTTGGCC